GCTTCCATGTTGTGGAAGGGGTGGTCACAGAAATAATTTTAAACAATGCTCATCATGTGGGCCACAGAGAGGAAGACACTGTATGAGGGGAGGAGGTGGATGTGCAAAAACATTTTACTTCATAATGCACACGTGGAGAGGGTCTACAAGTCTTTGAGCTCAAGAATGAAACTGTGGTTATGCTGTAGAACAGCGATCTGATACCACGGTGCAGCTGCACTCGAGGCAGGGGAGCTCTCTGGGAAGCAAATGTAGGACTCAGAAAAGATGAAGACAGTAGATGAGAGGCAGAAAAAAAAGAAAGTGTAATAGACAGCACGCTTGCATCCCTCCTCCTAAATTCTTATTTTGATTCACAATGTGATAGTATTAGGAGGTGAGGCCTTTGGGAAGTGATTGGGTAAAAAGCATGGAGCCTTTAAGAATGAGATGAGTGACTTTTTTTTTTTTTTTAAAGAACTATCTTATTTAACTTTGTTTTAATTTGACCAGAGAGGGAGGGAGGGAGAAAGAGAGAGAAAGCAAGAAAGCAAGCCACCGGTGCCTTTATGAAACAAACTAGCTAGCTCTCCTGCACCTTTCCACAGTGTGTGTGTGTGTGTGTGTGTGTGTGTGTGTGTGTGTGTGTATAATGAGAAATCAGCAGGCTGCAACCTGCAAGAGAGGACCTACCAGAATCTGATCATGCTGTCACTGTGATGCCAGACTTTATATTTTCCAGAACTGCCTGAAATACACTGCTGCTGTCTCTAAGCTACTCAATCCATGGTACCTGTTATTATAGCAGCCTAAATTGAAACAGGAAGAAATTATTTATTAAGCATCTGTTACATGTCATACACACTTTGAGGTCTGTGAAAGAAAAGCAGTTCTAGGCAGTCTGTGGAATTCAAGGTACAATGAAATTTTAAAGGCCTGAGTAAACATGAGCCTTGGATTTTATGCCCCACATTCATCTGAGTTATTGCCCAAAAGGCACATTTTACTTTACAGTAAACAAATTGTGATGTTTTAAAGGATTCCAGATTTTACAATGGGACCCCCACCCTTGCTCCATCCCAGTGTTCTCAAGTTCATGAGGGAAGGAATAATGCATTACCAATAAGCTGCCTGCATTATTTGAAACGGGCCAACATACTCTTAACAATTTGTACCTTTCTCTCTTCTTGCCCTTTTGTTCGTTATATAAACCAGCTTTCTTTGTCATCTGGATGAGCACATCTCTGAGGAATCGGAGTCTGTTCATATAAAGCAAATTAGCCTTAAGTCCTGGCTGAAATAAACCGCTTTTATTTCACTTGTGTTTCACCCTTCATTTTAGGTTGGCAGGTGTTTTCATCTATTTGAAGTAGAGAAGTGGCAAAGGTCATAAAAATGAGGAAAGATGTTTTTAAAATATTACAAAGAAATTAATCTTGCTGAGGACTTCATAGCTGATTATTTTTGGAAAGGTTTTTTGTCATAGGGGATGTGTGCTCACCTGAGAGCACAGAGACAGAGAGAGAGACAGTGAGAAAGAGAGTGAGAGGGAAAGGGAGAAATCATCCTCCTGGGGAAATGGCCATGTCACAATCCCTTCTCCTTTTGGGCTTTTGGCATGCATGCACCCCCACCTGGCATGATTCAAAAGCCTCTAGGTCTGGAACTCAAACCATGGTTGGCCATGTGGGAGTCCAGTGTGCCACCTGCTGACCCCATAGCTGATTTTGAGTTTATGTATGCATATATTGGTATGATTTGTGCTTAGGTAGGTAGGTTGACAAGGAGACAGTTCTGAAAAGAGCTAAGGTTTTCTTGTTTGTTTGTTTGTTTGAGTGGTTTTTGCTATAGGGTACGTGCGCTCGTCAGAAAGACAGAGACAGAAAGCGAGATATCACTTCCCAGGGGTGATGGCCACACCACAATCCCTTCTCCTCACTTCTCTCAGGATCTTGGGCACGCATGCACACACGCCCGGTGTGAGTTTAAGCCACTGGGTCCAGGACTCGAACTGCGGTCGACTACGTGGGAGTCCAGTGGCATAGCCATTACGCCAACTGCTGGTCCCAAGATCTAAGGTTTTAAGTAAGGGTAACTAATAAAATAGTAGTAGCAGTAAGAAAAGCGTAGTGGGATTGGGGGGGGGGGAGGGAAGACAATGAGTTACATTTCTTTGAGAAAATGAGGCATCCAAACAAAGCTGGTCAGTAAGTAGCACTAGTCATAAAGAGACACATCACCCACCCGGAGGGAATAGGTGGATAGAGTGTATCTGCAGAGAAATGGCACCTGAGCAATGAGATTTACTTAGGTTACTAATGGAGAGACTGCAGACAGAAAAGACAAATTCTTATGCATTCCTGTACCTGAGGACGATCCAGAACTATGTTGTCCAATATGGTAGTTATTAACTACATGAAACTGAATGAAATAAAATACACACTGTAGTTATTTAGTCACACTGGCTACATTTTAAGCACTTGATGGCCATATGTAACTAGTGGCTACCATATGGACATCACAGATATGCAATATTTTCCATCTCACAGAAAGTTCTACTAAACAGCACTAACCCAGAGATTGGTTAAAGAATAGAAGAACCAGGAGCATCTCTCCTGAAAGCCAAGGGTTACAATGTTTCAATGGAGTGACTAGCCCCATCAAGTAAAAGCTTAAGAAAACCAGAATAATAAAGATTGTGACTTCTAAAGCAGTTTCACACTCATTATAAAGTTATAAACTAGATTACAACAGATTTTGGATTAAATGGGGAATAGATAAATAGAGATAACAGGTGTAGATCCTTCTCTCTGGTAATTTTTCAGTGAAGAAAAACAAAGAAAATCCAAGAGAGACTAGGAAGTGAATAGAGCTGCATATGATTACTATAAGCATGTTTACCGACTCACTGGAAGTTTTGGACAGTCAACCATCTATCTAATGCTAACAATTAGAAAGCCTTTCACTACAACTGAAAAGATAACACTATATAATTTTAAAACATAAGGAATCTTAGAAACCATCTAATCCATCCCTCACATGATAAGATAGCAGAGTTGCCTACAGCCCCCCCCCAAAAAAAAAACCACACACACACAGTCAGTGGTATTAACGTCTAGAGGTCTTTTATGGGGCCCAGCCAGTGTCATGGTGATTATGGGAGCTGGATCCCACATGGCCTACTTCACAGTTAAAATCCTGGATGGGTGGCTTATAAAAATTGCAGAACTGAGACCAGCAGTTGGCATAATGGTATGTGGCTGGACTCCCACGTGGTGGCCCATGGTACGAGTCCCAGACCCAGTGGCTTAAACTCATGCCGTCGCGTGTGCATGCGTGCCCAAGATCCCAAGAGGTGGATGGAGAAGGGATTGCGATGTGGCCATCCCCCCTGGGTAGTGATTTCTCCCTTTTCGTCTCTCTGGGGAGCTCCAAGCGCTATAGCAAAAACCTCTCAAAAAACAAAACAACACACACACACACACAAAACTAAAAACAAAACAAAACAAAATGAAACAAAAACAAAAAACAAACAAACAAACAAAAAAACAGAAAATAACGGGGGATCTAGCGCACGCATGCCGGAAATCCCATGCTTGGCTGTCCTGGAGGATGATTTCTCACTTTCCCTGTTTGTCTCCCAGGAGTGCATGAGCCCTCGGGAAAAATCTTTAAAACATTGTTTTTTCATCTTAAAAGTACTGTGTATGCTAAACAATACATTCCAAAGGTACTTTTAATATTTTAAGAGATTTTGGTGTACTGCATGGACAAAAAAATCTGACAAAACTATTAGAGCTATGAAAGCTATGAATTGAGATTAAGATGTGGGAATGATATCAGAAGGCTAAGACAACTACTGAAAAACAAGCATGGGAGTGGGCGGACTAAAGCGCTGGGGAAGGCGCGGGTGCTCCAGGGAGCGCAGCGTGGGCTGCGGTGTCAGGTGGAATCCAGCGCAGGGTGAAAATACCGACAAGCTGAAAGCAGGTGGAAACTCTGGGGCTTCGCCCATCTATCCACTCAGTTCAAGAACTTCCTTACAACACAGACGTCATAGTTTTCCTAATGGCTACAGATGGTGAACCACAGGGATCGCTTTCAAGCTGTTTTAATTGGAGTCAACCTATTCTACCTATTCTGCTACCAACTGTTGTCCCCAATAATCCAGAAATTATCCATACTAAAATGTGGCTGTGTTAGAGCGAAGATCAGTGACACGGCAGGCTAGCTTAAGGCTGAGCTCTTTCCTCACTTTCAAAAATCCGTCCAATCCGTTGGTTTCCCCAACACGCGGGCAGAAAACCGAGCTAACGGCCCGCCAGGTCTCAGGAGCGCTAACGTGGCAAAAACGGGAAAACCGGGTGCAAAGCCGGCCAGTGCGCCCGGCGGTTCGGCCTACGCCCCGCCCACTCCACCTGCCAGCCAATAGCCTGCACAACTGCTCCGCCACGCCCGCCCAGTTCCTGCGCGGCTGCGCAGTTGCTTCCTCTGCTCGGATAACCCGTGTACACCGAGCCCGCCGTCTCCGCGCCCTCCGCTTCGCTAGGCCGTCTGCCCTTTTTTCCTGAGGGTGTAGGGGACGACTTCGGCTATCATAGGGAGCCCGAGGCCCCAGAAGTGATTCTCCCTAACTGCAGCGGAAGGAAAGGAAAGAGAAACGGCGGCCGGGACTCACACCCACAGGTCCCTTAACCCGGAAGTGACTTTCCCTCCCTCCTCCCTCGCCTCATTGAGAGGGGAGGAGAAGGACGGCCAGGTCTGGCCCGGCATGCCCTGGGCTTCCGGTGACCTCTGGCCCTTTTCTGTCGTCCGCTCTGGCTGCCTAGCGTGCTCGCTAGCTCATTGACTTCCTTCCGTCCCTCCGCTCTTC